CCAACTAATCAATGACCTAACTGCAAACAAATCACAACAATAACTCAGTAAACAGCATCAAATCACATACAACAAGTTAAACAGTCTTGCTTAGCCTGTAAAGCTGTGATAAGCTATGCCCAGTTGTTACGTTACCGATCCTTGAATGGATGGGAGAAAGAGTCACTTGGTGGTGTACTGCTTTGTTAGCCGGCAGAAGAAGGCTGGGAAGATGGTTCCAGGTGCAGTCTTTGTTGTGTCCTTTGTTCCAAAGGTGAAACTCCGAGGAAGCTGGTCGCTCAGGGTTTAGCAGAGTTAGATGCTGGGTGCTAACTCACTTAGTTCCTTGTTGCTGGAAAACTAGTTGCAAACCTTGTGTTTCCAAGAAAGTCTATGATCAGTTGCCCTCCCTTTAGTGGTTTGGGCTATGGAGCAAGGGTCTGGGCCTCTGTGCTGTTCCAGGCCCAGCTGGAAAAAGGTGTTAGCTGTTCAACAGCTGGAGCAAGACAGTTGTTGTAGCTCCAGGGCCAGAGAGAGATCTGTTGGAAGGGAGCACAGATCTACAGATGCCTGTGACATCAGAATCACATGTCACTGTAAAGGTCCTGTCCAATCAAGTTTTGGGACTTGAGTCTCACTGAGGTGTGAGGTGAGATCTCCTGAGGAGATGGGTGTCACATAGCTCTCTTTGTTTGGAGAACAAAGAGCATGCAGAGAAAAAAGCCTTTAAATCTCCAGTTTAGATTTTACCAAATGATAAATCATCTGTGGTCCTGTGAATCCCAACAACATTGAACAAGAGCTTGACAACTACGTTGGTCCCGCCCATGGCCTGATTGGCTAAGTGAGTCCACCCAAAGGGCTCATTAGTTGTTTTTTTATTTTAACCGAGAAACCATTGTTTCATGTAATGATGCCAGGCGAATAAATTCAAAGGTCTTGACCCAGGTTACCACAGACTTTGGCTCCAAAAGACATTACCAGTGCAAGATGGTGGCTGCCATATCCGGGATATTTTGGCTTCAGTTTTTGTATGATGAGGTGTAGACAGGTCCATCTTTATAGACAGTCATTGGTTGAAACCTCAACATGTTGTACACCATTAGTACCTACCTCAGGCCAGATAGGGTGCCAGTGGCTCGCCGAACATTTTCTAATTCACAATGAAAATAAATTGTTTCACAGTAGGGTTTTTTTCTTTTTTGTACTTTGAATGTAATAAGGTGCCAGAGTAAATTAGAAAAGCTTCTACATAGATCTTGTTTATCAAAAAATGTGCCAGGGGAGTGTCCCCCACCAGGCTTATTCTTTACACATTAATAGATATTTACTTATTTGCTGGCTCCTGGCCTCCTGTCATTTTGCAAAAGTGGCCCTAGAGCAAAGCGAGTTGAGTATCCCTGTTGTACCCTATTAAGGATCACATTAACGTTTGCAACTTATTTAGTCTGATATCCTTTTGTATGAAGAATTAAACAGTGTTTGGAGTCACGGTCACTGTGATCTGTGTAAACTGAATTAATACTACCTCATTCAGTAGCTTTGGTGCACTGTTTTTTTCACAGTGAGATTACATGAATGTGTGAAAGTAGAATACAGAGAGAAAATGGGACGCTGGGAAAATAATGCATATATTTTAATGTAAGTGATGACACATTGACTGATATAGAGATCCAGGTTTATATTATTGACTTATCAGTGCATTTGTTGGGTATATTTCCTTTCCTTTTATTGACTGTTGCCATCGTTACAGAGGCAGGGCTGGTGTCCAAGGAAACGACGGAGCTTTTGTAATAGACTGCATTAGAACTTTGTGTATATATGAGTGTGTACTTGTGTATGTGTGTGCATGTAATGGATCCTACATCTCTATCTTGTAGAAGCTACTTATAATGAGGCACAGTGAAAGAGACAGAAAGAGAAAAAAAGATGCAACAAAGCAAAATATGCAAGAAAATAAAGAAGCTGTTGTGTCGAATGTAGCACAAGTTTGCATATGAAAACAGTGAATCGTATCATCATGCAAAATTCATCAAGCGAGTGGCATGTTGAAAATTGTTACACTGATGCCTAAGTGATTTGTTGCTTTTGGAGAAAAACACAAATAAACATCATGCTGGAATGAAATTGATATATAAATCTAGTTTGGCTACTATTTCGTATCCAGTATTCAACAGGAATGCACGAACAACAAAAATAGGCACGAAACCTTTTCAAGAATATCAAGACACACAACTCAGAGCAAAGGCAAGAACACTGAGTATTTGTCATGTCCTTCTTTAGTGCAGATGAGAAATAAATTAGAAACCCTTGAACTGTTTTTTAAGCTTCCTGGTCACTATAACAACAAAGAAGAGTCTGCTCTTTGCTCTCATTTGGTCTAATTTCAAAGTGACTGTAGAAAGCTTTTTTGGTAGACCCTTCTAGTGGGCTGTTAAACCGTATTAAAGCCAGAGAGGATATGTAGTAATGAAGAAGTGCATATTACTAAAGAGAACTCGTGGGTGGACCATGATACTAATGCTTATAATGGTAGACTATATACAGTTAAAGAACATCTCGTATAAATGACTCTCAAGAGAGAAATTGTCCAGTCTAGCAAATACACTGTAAATGTAAAGAGAGCAGAAAATTTATTGTTGAAATGTAATAAAATTGATAAAAAGACATTTATGCGTATCAAATTTTACAGTTATGACTGTTTTAAAATTTATGATATCTGATCTATGGTGAGCCAAATGTCTTTCAGTATTTTTATCTAAAACCTTGAAGCACAGTCGCCAATTTAAGCCTTCTCCTGTGAAACACAAACAGGTCGTTAAAGACGAGAAGAGAGCAGGAATCATCTCCACCCCCTCCCCTCTGTCTGACACATAGATATCATGTCAACCCAACCGTCATCAGCTCAACTGCAGGGAACAGCTGAGGTTAAACTGTGTGCATAACCTCACAGTAGGTGTATGGTGTGGCGGAGGTGTTTGAGTGGAGAAGGTAGATTTGAGTCACTGTAATACATATCCTTTAAGGGATCTAATTTTTTTTGGCTCTCTTTGTCACTTTGACACAGCCTCATTTCCCTGCTTCTCCAGCCATCCCTCATCTCAGCTGTGTGTGCTGCTGATGTTCAGCGCCGGGGCGCAGACATTAACATGCGGCAACCATCCCGGCCCCTCAGTCCCTGCGGTAATTGGAAAGCCGTCAGCAAGCCGTTGTTTCAACGGAGAGAGGGACAGAGAAAGGGAGGCTGTGTGAGATGGGGTGAGCAAGAGAAGCAATAGAGAGTTGGGGAAAGAAAGGGACAAACAAGGCTTGAAATGAGGAAAGGGGTAGATGGAAGAACAGCGAACGAAGGGGAAAGGGCATATGAGGCTAGAATCAGGTGAATGAAAGAACGGTGGTTATAAAGTAACTGATACAACATGCTGAGGGAGGAATGGCAAGAGACTGACAGAGGTTGAAAGGTGGATAAACAGGGACGAAGGGGTTAAGAGATTTTTAGTCTTTCAAGGAAATTTTGCAGAGATAGCATCAAAGTCCCAATTCAGTCAAGTTGTAATTCACACAAGCACACTCTAAAGCTGATTACACATAAACATCTGATTTCATTAAATACACTTCCTATTTATATATATGTATGTAATACATGTGTTGTTGCTTAAAAGAAAGCTTTGACGGCACAAGCAGCAAAATAATGCTGAACGCAACTTACATGGTGGTGGCAAAGTAGTGATGAATGAAGACTAGGCGGAGCTCTGCCGCTGCTGTATTAGAATTCACCGCCAGAGAGAGAGAGAGAAGGAAAGAGGGAGAGAGTGAAGATGCAATGCGAAGAAATGTTGAGAAGGAGAGGGATAAGAGGGTGAAATGGAAGCGAAAGAATGAGAGAAAGAAGGAGGGGATTCAAGGCAAAAGAAAAGAGGGAGGAGCAACAATTAAAACAAATGGGCTGGAGCTTTTTGCCCCCCGCCCCACTGCACACAAGCACACACACACATACACATACTCTCACAGCCTGCCTCAGGGAGCCATGGCGCATGCACGCTTGCAGGCAGACAGGCAGGAGGAGATCAATCGTGCTCTGGGACTGGTGTGTGTATGTGAGTGTCAGCGATGTGTTAGCAACATGCTGGCGGTGGCGTATGCCATGCTAGCGGAGGTGCAATGTTAGCAGGAGTGGAGGGGGCTGTCTGTGTATGTGCCTGTGTACACGGCTAGAATGCACATAGAGGGCTCGTGGTGTATGAGTGTGAGCGAGCCGTCAAAGGGGAGGGGAGCCACGGAGCGCAGCAGCAGCAGTAGCAGCAGCAGTAGCAGCAGCAGCATTGCCAGAGTGTGTGTGAGTGTGTGTGAGCGAGCGTGTGTGTGTGAGGGGTGGAGGGGAGAGGAGAGGCAGACGCGGCGGGACTCCCAGGAGAAGGAGCGGGAGTCGGGGAGCAGACCCAGCCTCTCTCCTCCACAGCAGGAGTACCAGGACCCAAGGACGAGGCAGGATCTGTAACCCAGCCTGGAGCAGCTGGAACTGGGGACACACAAGGATCTCTGTCCCTCTCTGGAGGGGGCTTCTTCTGGAGCCCCAACTCAGGATGTGTTTGCCTAAGGGGGGCTTCCAGACGGATCTGACAGACCCACACAGAGAAGGAAGCAGTGCAGTCCCTCTTATCGTTAAACATTTCTGCTTCTACCTCGGTTAGGATGCGGGGGAGAGGGGAAAGATAGAAGGAGAGGGTAAAAGGGAGCAAGAAGGATCTGTCTGTGCTATTAAAGAAGGAAGAGAGGGAATAAGAAGAGGAGGAGGGGGAGAGAGTGGTTGGGAGGAGTGTACTCTCCTCTCATGACTCTCCCATGGAACACTGACTGTTGATCAGCAGGCACTTGGACTTGTTTATGAATCCCTCCCTGGCCAGCATAACAACCAGGGGGTGTCACCAGGTTGCCGTCCCGCTGACGACCATGTCGGTGACCACGGGCTTCAGTTACCAGCTCCCTGGAATCACCACAGTAACATATGTGTTTGTTTACAGCCCTGGCTCAGTGCAGCGAGACCCAAGCCCCCCTCATCACACGCCCCCAGCACTGACGGGCCCCCGCGGGCCCAAACGGAAACTCTACAGTGCTGTCCCAGGACGTACTTTCATCGTGGTCAAGCCCTACACGCCACAGGGGGAGGGAGAGATTCAACTCAACCGTGGAGAGAGAGTCAAAGGTAGGTTGCCCTCTATGATATGTGTGTATGTGTTTTATTTCCTCCCTAAACCTAACACTGTAACTACTACTTCTTGACACTACTGCTGCTAATCTGTATTTCATCGCCACTAGTCACGTTTAGGATCTCCTGTAAGTTCATGGTTACATGTGGCTCTCATGACTGTCAGAGCAGACATACCTATGCTCTCATACTTGTCAGATACAAAGCACACCATTACTTCACTATGTTTTTGGCTGCAAAGCAGTTATGTAATCGCTCAACCTGGGAGTCATTTCAGTGTCGTATGAGCTTGACATTGTGAATTGTCATTTCATCCACTTTGTAAATGTGCTGTTTTCTGCTTTACACAGAGGGGCAGTGGCTTCGCTTTCATGTGTTTGTGTGTGTGCTTTTGTCTCCATTCATGCTTCACTCAAGACTATGACTGTAATGACGTAGAAGGTAAACTCCATACTATTCTTCTCACCCAGTATCTCTCCCACACACTTCAGTGTGTCAACCCTACACCCACAGTGTAGCAATTAGTCCCTGGCCCTGTTTGAATCCACTTGATTTATGTGTGCAATCTCAGTCTAAATCTGAGATTACTTCAAGGAGAGGGCATGCAAATTCAAACAGGTCCCGTGTGCTGTTGGTTGTTGGTATGCATACACACACTGTGTCCTTCTCCCTCTCTGAGAGTGCTTCCCCCTGAACGTATAACTGCTTTTCTCCCTCTTCTTATCACCTGTCCACAGACACCCAGCCTCACATTGACCCCACACCCTACATCCTGCCACTTCACATACATCACCATGGATCAAACCCACATTAGCCTAATGGAAACAGTTCCCTCATGTCCTCAGAAAGACTGGAGAGAGAGTGCGCGGCTGCACTCATGCTGAGACCCCTCATGTTCCTTTCAGATCTACAGAGGCACAGGAAGTACAGATTAAGGGTCAATTTGGAATTTCAATTTGGATTTTGTGCAAACAACCACAACACACACACACACACACACACACACACACACACACACACACACGCAAACACTGTTATCTATCCCTCCTTCTTTCTCAGAAACATTCAGTAGTAAACAACACAAAAACACTATTTTAAACCACTGACGAGACCCCTTCTCTCCGCCTGGATACATATGGAAGAATTCTCACCCCTTCCTAGATGTTTTCTGTCGCCCAGCTTCTCTGACCTTTGAAACGTTCACCAGTAGACTTCGGCCTGTATGCTTTGATGCCTTGTCTTCAAAGTATCGTGCGTGTTTTATGGAAGTACTGCTCCCTTTTACACAGGAATTACTAAGATGATAAACAGTTCCAATTCAACAATTCAGACTCATGTTTTTGCTGAACAAAACCGAATGATACAGCATTGTTGGAAACGGTGATGCATACTGATGTTGACACAAATGTTAACGGAACTGTGATGACTCAACAGCAGCCAGTATGCCTCCATCTACTGAATGGATCTGTCGGTGCAGCTGAATCCATAACCCTGCCACTAATGTGAACACACAATGTTTTGCCGTTCTTTCATGTTGGCCATGCAGGAGACAAGCTTACAGTCGCATGGCTGCCAGCACCATGGCCCAGCCAAGTAAACCATCTGGCTGTGTTATGCAACACTGACCATCATAACCATTTCTGTGTTGCAGTCACTATGCTTTTTGAGTCCTGAGATATAAACTGAGAAATACGTCATTGATGTCAGCTGGTTGTCAAACATCTTAAAGCCCAGGCAGTTCAGGTTTGTTTTGGTAACCAAATTCTGTCTAGTCCAGTAGTCCGAGCATGCAGTCTTAGCAGGGAATGACCAGCCCTCCTGGTGCACACAGAGGCTAGGCCTGAGAAGCTACTCCCTTTAGGGATGGATGACCCTTGGTTTGATACATAATGCATTTCATCTAATCTGCATTCATAAATGGATGAGTTGCTAATAGTAATAGGGCTCATTTGCAATGTAGGACAAGAGGAGGTAAGGCAAGTGAAAGAGCGGGGTAATGATAGGAGGGTATGTTTCTTCATCTTTTCCTGTCTCACCTTCCTGATTAAGGTGACAAACAAATCAAAAACATGTACACCTTCAGGGACTTTGATTTACCCGGAGACTAGTTTTCGTGTGTGTGAATGTGCATATGTGAAGTAAATATCAACAGAATTGTTTGTACCCTGACACTAACTCTGATACTGCTCCAAACTAGAAATATGAGAGATAGATGAATAGATGAATCATGCTACTACCAGAGTCAGAGATGAATAATTAGCCTCTTTCCCCTCCCCTGACCCCATAAACACACACACACACACACACACACACTCATACACTCATCTCTGTCTTCCTGTTAATGTCCTCACACCCTTGTTAATCACCAGCTGAAGCAGAGGAACATCTTTATGATGAGATCAGACTGGGTAAATCTCACTAAATGATCCGTCTATTTGTCTTTGTGACTGTCTGTGTGTGTGTGACGAGTGTTAGCATCCATGCTTACATAGGTAAGCATTAGCATATATGTCTATTAGCTCACCTGTTAGTAGGACAGATTTGTGGCCTGTTGAGGCAAGAAATATTGTATGCTGTACAGGGAAAGATGTGTCACACTGTGTAGTTTAATGAAGACCATTGATTTTGTTCTAATGGGAGACATAGTTTAGTTCACAGCAGTAGACTGGAGTCCATTCCTGGTCAAGTGTGATGATTGCTGTCCTTTTTTAATGCAAGATTTTTGAAGATGTAAGAATTGCACAATGTGTTTCTTTTTCTTTTTGTAGTGGCGGAAGACTATCTGGACTCAGATGGTAAATACAGCAGAGCCTTATAGTGAAACTTCCCATAGCGTTTTGTATGTAAAACCCACTGCTGACCTAACTGCTTCTATATCATTTCATGTCACTTGGACTTTTGTCTTAACATTCAAGTCTCAATATTGAGAGTATTGTTTGGCTTTACTTACTGCAAGATATTCATCACAATTTGAGTGGAAACGTTTCAAAATTTAATGAGAGCAAGCTGTTTAACCAGCCTCATTTTGCAGCTGAAGAGTGCTTTCAAATTTAAAACCCCATTTTAGGTAAACCGAAGGGTCTTCCTCAATTATTTATTGCTTTTTACACAGCATGTCTGTTTTCTTGCAGTGTACAGTAGCCAACCAATATTAAAAGCTAGTTATTTCCTGTTAAACATAAACGTTAGCAGAAATATAAAGGATGTAATCCATGCTCTAGCAGTATGGGGGTATGTTGACGTCAAAAGATTTGAGAGAGAACAAAACAAATTCTGAGCACTACTCAGTCTGCAGGTCAACTTTTAAGAGTGCACAGACGTATAAGAGCAAAAAGATTTGAGCGTGCAATCCTGATCATTTGCGCGGTAATTTCTGAGTCTGTTATCTCAATTTTCTCCAGCTGTTTTGGCAGCTTCTGAGCACCTGAGATGTGTGGTTCTGCACTTCAAGTTCAGCCAAATTCTGGCAATCCAACAGACCTTCTCCTAGTTTATTCATACGGGTATGTTGGATTTGTGCCACCCCACCTCATATTAGACTCATTAGATTTCTTAGGGCAGCATTCAGCTTGGAGGTCACAATGAGCCTCATTCATAAATTTTCCTTTATTAGTTTTAATATTTTTTTCTGTTAAGTATAAACGTACAAAATAAGTAAACCCAATATCTGGTTCAAAAAAGCACACTTGATAACACGGCCAATATGATATAAAGCCAGTAACTACTTTTAAATTAAATTGATGCTCAAAATTGCTATGCTATAATGGCTTGAAAAATAGATAATGTGCCAACAAATTAAATTTGATTTTGGTCATTTAGTGTTAACAAATTTTGATTTTTGAGATAATACAAACACTAAATGCTGCTCTTAGTCTCTCTCTGGTGGTTAAAGAATGCCACTTTGCCAGCTTTTATGTTGAAAGTAAAAGAAAGGGTCTAAGAACATGACAAGTGTTGCACTTCCTGGTCAAATTAAACAGGTGACACTCTACTCTCAGTTTGACTCAGCTTAGTTTGACTGAATCCAGATGTACAGACTTTCCGGTACTTGCAGACTTGCAGACTTGCAGCCTTGCGCGTTCCTGGTAAGTCTGCGAGTGCTGAGGGCTGGCCAAATCCAGAATCCATCCGGTCTACAAGGGGCCTCGAGCAGACTTTCTGCAGACTTCAATAGAGTCCGCTTGGGGTGCAGACTTCACTAGAATTCACTGATTTAGTAACCCACAAATCAGTGCAATACAGATGTGATGTTGTAGATTTCCTATTACCTACTAAAAAAACAAAATGGACTATAATGAATCTGGTAAACAGTTACTATATTAAAACGTTAGCATAGTGCTGCAGCAATCACACTGTACATGATTGTAGTTGGTGCTCAAACGTTTTTACAATAAAGAGTGAAACAGACTTGAAGCCTGTCTATTAGCTGCTTTGCAGTCTCACACCCTGCCAAAGTTGACATGATGACCGTGAACATGTCACTGTATGTACAACTAAAGTCCACAAGGGCTTAGTCCGAAAGTCCAGAGGGTGGACATTCGATTTAGCCTTTGTGCTGAGGTGATTCAGTCTGCCAAAAATGTGCAAGCAGCTTTGATCATTACGAGTGTGAGAATCCTGCCCGCTCAAATATAGTTACACAATTCTTCTATTCAAATCATCTGTTCTACTCAAGCTTATGTCCTCCCTCACCCTCTCAAAGATTGAGTGGCATACTGAGTAGCGCTCAGCTGTGTTTTGTGGACTCTCAAATGTTTAGTCGTCTGCATATAGCAATAACATACAGTAGTGTATGTTGTAGTTGTATAGTGCTAGTAACTTCACTGTAGAAAGCCACTATGAGTATTTGGTGTGAAAATTGTGATTAATTTACTTTACCATTTACAGTAACTAAGTATTTACACAGTAATGAAAATCATGATATTTCCTTTTTATCAGTTATGTATTAACACATGTGATATCTTATAGCTGACACCCCGTATGAGGAAGACGATGAAAATTATGCCAATGACAATGATGATGATGATGATGATGTACATAAAGGTAAAATGGACATTTGTCTTTATAATTTTGAAAGAAGGATGACAAAGTGGTTAAAACTTTTAATCATTTAGGAGACACAGTTAATTCCCATTCTGCTGCCACAAATAAATGATGTTGTGACTTCACTGACTGAGAATCTTCAAGCTTGGTTCACATCTTTGATCTACAGTGTGAACCTGCTGAAAAAAGAACCTGATATTGAGATAAAAATTGGACTTTTATGGTTCTAAAAATTGGCATGTGATCCCATGTTTTCATCCTTCATTTTCACTTAGACTAGCGCTGATAGATGCACATATAGCCCCCGTGAACAAGATTAGATGTGCCTTAAATGTGTACTTAGAATCAATGACTGGATCAAATGTTAGAGTTCCCATGATCACGTGCAACCAGTTTCTCCTCCACTATGAAGAACGGCTTGGAAAAACTCCCAGTCTTTACTCAGTGATTGTCAGTCCATTGGTCTGCTGTCTGAGATCAATGTCTCTAGACAGTCTTCGTCTAGACAAACAGTCCCGCTGTCCGCCATTTACCAGGGTCATCCGCATCCAGCTCTTCAAGCAGACTCTTAGTCTCAAGTAATGAGATCTGTTTGTCCTTCCTCACTCACTGACTGCCACTGGACCACAAAACTAGCATGCACTTGGTATCATGGGGTGTTTGAGGGTATGTATTTATGTGTGTGTGCGTGTGTGTGTATGTGTGTGTCTGTGTGTGCTTATGTCATTGATGGCGGTTCAAAGAAATGGATGCTTCCAAGATTATCTGATTTTGTGGTCTGTCTGTGTGTACATGTGTGTGTCTGGTCACAGCTGTGTGTGTGTTTGATGATCCCTTTGGTACACTCCATTAACAGGTCGCCTAGGCCCATCCCCCTACCCTCTTGCTTCCCTTCTCTATACTCATTCCCCTGCTCACCCCTGTGTTTGTTTCCGCTCTTTCTCTTCATTGATGTAATCTGATCTCATCATCCGGATGGACATCTCTTGAAAGACCACTTAGGGTCACCATGGTAACGAACGGGCACACATGCCACCATAACCCAGTCAAGCTTTTTGCACTTTTGTGACCCCATACACATTCACACACTTGCTCAGACTCCACACACAATTGCAGGTGCAAAGGTAACACACAGGAACATATTCAAAGGAACAGATGTGTGTATCAACATGCTGGTTCCCCCGCTGGGAGCATTAACTGCACGTTCAGGACATTCTTCTCCTCAACAAGGTGACACATTTAAGAGCATACTTCCGTAACAATGTATTACATCTCACATACACACACACACACACACACACACACACACACACACACACTCACCACATACACCTTCTCCAAACGCCATTATAAATCTTGCAGACAGCCATGAAAATGAAACCAGCGCAAGTAACGTTGAGATTAGACATTCACAAACATGATTAATGGGGTTTGGCCGCACCCAGTGTGTGCAGAATATTAACACTGCTATGGGCAGTGGAGGATACCTGAACCAGCTATACTGACACAAACACACACACATATACTTGCTTTTAATGGATTATTCTGGGTCTGGCTTCACACAAGCTCAGAAAGCAGCTATTACTGCTGTTATGATCTCTGGGAACACAGACAGTAGCTCAGCCGTTTGCTAATGCTGGCAAACTGATCACATGCCATAGAACTGCAAAAGCTTTTTGCTGACGCCACTGTCTGAAGGCATGCTTCTCCTCTCATGTACTGTATTCTCTCCAACAGTTGCTACACATATATGTACACTGGTGTGTGTTTTGGACAAGACCAAGAACCACTGGATTACACAAATGAAGCACTGCACAATGCATTATGTTTCTGACCACAAAGCTTGCTATTGTTAAGACTAAAATGCATATGCATCTGTCTGTTACCAAGCAACAGGTGCTAAGTGTGTTACAGCTCTGACATGTAATTTTAAGACAGAAATAAAAATGAACCAATTATGCCTTTAGTGATTTTTGAAAAAAAATCCATTTGGTTCTTAAAAACAATACTCTTTTCTTTGATTTTTAGAAACATTCCCCCATTTTATCTTTTTATCTGCTACTTCCAAATCAGGTTGGATGAGAGCCTGTGTGCAAAGTGTTAAATTTAGACTAAATATCATTGTTAGCTTTCTACAGTGAGCTCGGGTTGAATTAATTAGACTTCCTCTCAGTCTGGTAGTAGCATGAAGTGTACCGCGTGTGTGTGTAAGTGCGGGTATTTCTGAGCATCTCTCCATTGTTGTTTGCATCATGAAGTGTGTATGTGATGCACATACGTGTGTAAATGTGCAAGCGTATGTCTGCCTGTGTGCTTTCCTTTGTGTGTGTTTGTCTTTGTGCAGCACAGTGTAAGTAATTGCCTCCCACAAGTTAGATAAACAGCATCCTTCAAGTATTCAGCAACCAGCTGTCCTAATATCCGAGGCACATATGGAAGAAATGTCTCTCTGTCTTTCTTTGCCCTTGTTCTGTCTGTCTGTCTGTCTGTCTGTCTCTTTCTGTCATCTTTTATATACCTATGTGTACATATCTGCACATACACAGTGTACATTTATTTTGTGTCAAAGGCAGGTGTACACTACGCTTGTTAAGGTTTGGAGTTTGTTGATCATTTATTTTGGAGTAAACATTCTGCAGTAGTTTCTGTATATTCCACTCATTTACATGCACATACAACTATACAAGCAGTGTTTCAGTGTATTTAATGCATTTAAATTTACTGTATTGTCTGACAACACATAAGCGCTAAGCTGCCAGATGTTTGTGTTGACTTTGATGCATTTGCATGTCTAAAGAGAGCCCCTGCTGACCTGTCAACATATGTGATATTTTGCATGTGGAAACCAGTTTGCCACCTGGCAGTAGGTTGTAGCACATCTGGCTTTGGTTGTGGCTCTTTAATGATTTAAATGAAGGCACTATTAGGTCACAAAAATTTTGTAGATGGATTTTTATCATTGACTGATTAATTTACTGATTAATACAAGTTTTTACAACCCACTCATCAGAATAAATGTTGGAATTGTGCATTTCTACAAACCACGGATATGTGAAATTTGCAGGTTTCATATGTAGCAAACTTTGACTTTGTTTCTCTCATTTGAATTTTGTGTTGTGACAGTGCTGTGGTTAACATGTGGTTAGGTTCATGCAAAAAAACTACAAGGTTAGGATTAGGCAAAGATCATGTTTTGGGTTAAAATACCCAGTTTTGTTGTTACAAACAAGGCTGGAAATGTCCTGACGTGTTGGTAAAAATACATATTCTGGTTTGTTGGTCTTAAACAGTGGTCTGCTGCTGTCTGCTGCTTGGTGCAGATGAACAACTCAGTTTATAATATGTAATCTTAACTACATCATTTTATAAATGTTATGACATGTATAAATCATACAGTGCCAACATTTTATTCTTGCGACTCGGCTGTTTGGAATGGTACTCTAGATGTGATTTTGACAGTGGTCACATTCTTTTACAAGCACACAATCACAAAGGAATTTGTGAAACGTATTTATCGCCAACCTATGTTTGCTATTATCACTTGAGATAATAAAAATAGAGACTAAATTAACTAGCACCCCAGAAAGTTTCACACAATCCCTAATTATCAAGATCTTCTCACTCAGCTACTGGACAGGAAAAGCTTCAGAGAGCGTGCAGCCACATGCACTGTTAAATTATATATTCACTTTCTCTCATTTGGTTAAAATAGTGTGCACTGAGTTCCTTAAGGGACTTTACTTGGGCTAAAATGATGATATAACGCTTTTTACAGATATTCTTACATCTGTGAGACATCTTCATGTTGTCATTAATCACAAGTGCCTAATGCCGGGTAGCCACATCCAAAACGCAAATGTTTGTCCTCTCAGATATGATCCATACATGTAAAAGTATAACTTCATTAGAGGTGAATAAAATACTTAAAAAGCACATTTCAAACACATCTGTTGATAGTAGGTCCTCATGCTCCTCGACAACCCCCATGAGGAAGCCCTGAGAGGCCGCAAAGATGTTTAATAGAATAGTGCAGTGTGCATGGGGACACTGGAGGAGTGTGTTGGGGAAGAGAGGTTTAGAGTGTGTGTCCCATGTTCCCGAGGAGAAATTAATATTGTCACAGTATGAACCTGAGGCTAGTCAGTTTATTAACAGATTTCACTCTTTGGCCATTCATAATGTTCCAAGCTGTGTGTGTGTGTGTGTGTGTGTGTGTGTGTGTGTGTGTGTGTGTGTGTGTGTGTGTGCGTGTGTGTTATTGATACTGGACAGGGTCACAAGCCCAAGGCAAGGACGCTGATGTCACAGCTAACCTTCTAGCTGTCCAATCAGAGTAGCAGCGGGGTGCAAGGTCCCGCCCACGCACCTACCTGCTCCCTGCTGAACACACCACCTGTCCTCCTATTACACTCTCATCCTCTTTGTTGTTTTGTTTATCTGTTTTCCAAACATGCCCATACGGTGCACACTATCTTACAGGATCATCCCACACTTACCTTCTCACTGAAATGATAAGCTATGCTTGCCCAACATACATGTAATTTACTGGGATGTCGCCTCACACAAAATGCTAATTAGAAAACAGGCACAAACAGCAGTTGCAGAGTTAATCAGTATATGAATAAACATGAACAGGAAAACTGCTGCATAAACAGGAGCCATTGACTGAAGCAGATACATATTCAACAGAAACACAGATATGCTTTTGATTTACAATCACTCTATCATGTACAATGTGACGCACACTGTTTGAGGTGGGCACAGTGAGGGCAAAGCTGAACTGACTGAGTGATTCCAGATGGTTGTTAACAACAGGCGTTTTCTGTCCTGCACGGTGACAACCTACTTTGCAGTCGTGGGTGTATAAAATGCCCATGTAAAGGTCATGTCCTTACCTGGTGATGTCAGGTAGAGTAGCTTTTAGCAAATTTTTAAAAAACCTTGTGTCTTGACCTCTTCTTGTTGAGCTCGCTCTCCAAATGCATGCAGGGACTCCCTGA